AGCAATGCAGTCCGAAAAATCGTTAAATACCAGCAGTTATTACATATTACATTGTTTTTCAGCTGTAGCGGATGAACGTGTAGTAGGTTTTTTATGAATAATATTCGAATTTGTCAATCTTTATATCCTTGAGATGATTTATCGGCATATCAATTGACTGTTCAATGATCATTCCATAAGGTAACCTGGATTTTTGAATAAACGAAACCGGATTAAATTGACTACATTCGAATGATTCTTATAGTTTTCATTGTTTTATTTTATCTATATTTACTTGTTAAATTGAATCCTTGTATATATCGTCATATGTCATAAATTACAGTTTTACTGTTTTATTTTCATACAGTTAACCTGCTATATTTTTTTCCAATATTTACGTATTATAAATTATTTTGTTTACACACTTATTCATAATTCTGACATAATATATTATATAGATTACAACAAGTACTACAAGTACTATTAAAATGCAAAATTAATTCAAAACTATATAAATTACTGTGGTAAAATAAACGTTTATTTCTAACGTGACTTGATTCAGATGACATTCGTTATGAATAATTTATTCAAAATCTATCTGTGTTAAAAATACATATTTAGCCAAATTTTATCCTAAAATGTCATCGTATATTTTTTACAAAAAAATCTATCCTTTCATTGGTAATTTATCTTCAGTGAGAAAGAGATAAATTGGGAGTTGAAGTTAGATGATAAGAAACATAGGGAGACATAAAGTATATTAAAAGTACCTAATAGTATTTGTCATGAGTAATATCCTTTTATAGTAGAACTTCTCTATTTTTTTTAATGGTATAACTTTTATTTACAGTCATGTATATCTGTAATTTTTATTTTTATTTTTACAGTTGATTCTACTTTAAAAAGAAAAAATAATAATTATATTTATGAAAATTTCTTTAAATTGTTGCTTGATTATGACTTTTAGAGTATTCAATTCAGACGATTCTTCTTAAATGTATTAAAAATAAAATATAAAACATTGGGACATTCAACTGATTGTATAAATATTATCTTAATGGTTTTTTCCTCTCGGTTTTATGCAAATAAATTCACTGTTAGTTAATGAATTGACCACAGCAAGTCTGTTATTTAATTATACTTTTAAATTGATTTGCTTTTAATTAAGAACCGTAGTACAGTAAGATTATAGTTAATGTAAATAATCAAAACATAAATATACAGTCTTCCATGCCAAAAAACACACAATTTACTCTTCGCAGTCTGTTGAGGCACACATCGCTGAGCAATCCTTTAATTAAAACTCAGCGATGACGAGACCTCTTTGCTTCCTCTAAAAATCATCCTCTGTTCCACGGCATCTAATGTTAATTTCAGGCAGTGGTGGCTCTAAGGGGAGGGGACGATAGATGGATTGCCCTCTCTTGGAATTTGGTTTTTTTTGATTTAGTAAATCAGTGGCCCAACAACACCTATCTGCAAATTATATACAATTATTATAAGATAAATTGTATAAGTCAATACATTTATATCTATAATCTGTATGTATATTTTATATTATACACACACACACACACACACACATATATATATATGCTATGGGGTGGGAGAAGGTTAGCTTTATTTTAGCCCCCCCCCCTTGAACATCATGTATAAGCGTCACTGATTTCGGAGGGGTGACCAAAGGGGTATCATAGCCTCCAAAGAAAAATGTATATCAATCTGAAAAATTTAATTAATTATTCCTTTGGAATACCCCCTTAAAAATTTACTATACCATCCCTCCTGACAGAAGTAGAAGGTCTGAAATAAACACAGGGAGGGTCATCGGATGCCGAGATCTATTGTTGATATCCCGTACTAACGAGAGTCTGTGAAATAAGAAGCATACGATCCATAGCCGGAACAGTGAACAGGATGTAAAAGTGCAATTAATCTTTATTCAACGATGATCAACAGGAACGATCGTTGTGATAGTGTACAAAGTTTGTGTATTTTCATAACCGATTGACAGTTGACTCGTGACGGGTATGTATTACTACGATTACCTTACCTGCAGACCATTGTACATTTTATTTCGGTAAGTGATCATATAATATTCATACACATAATATCAATCCTATATATGATAAATAAATTATAACAAAATGTAGCAATCACTCGTATCTCAGTATCTGAGTAGCAATTTGTAACTGCTACTTTGGAATCATTGTAAAAAAATCATTGCTTCTGTTAACTATTTCATATCATCCTTAAATTTTATTGTGGGTGCGTTTACTGTTGACATCGGGTGTAAATATTACAATAATATTATAACAAGTGGTCGATCACCTGATAAATATAGAACATTTTAAAATTGTGTTAAAAAAAGAAAACTTCAAATTTCTAAAGAAAATCAACATGAACATCAAAAAAAAAAAAACTCTTTGGAAAAACCCCCTTGGAGTAAGTCTAAATACGCCCCTGGTAAGATGTTGGTAACAACTTGGCGCATTACGCATTATAATTAAAAACTAGCAAACGACAGATATGTTCTTATGGAATCATTAAAGTTTGTCAAAACACGAAAACTTAGGACACTAGTTTGGATTTTTATAATGTTATTGTTATTTTTGTAACTCTACGACCATGATTTTCAAGTCTGTGACATCAACTGCGCGTGTAAAAATATAGGTTAAAATTTCAAAAACTTGAGGAAAAAATAAATCCTCTAAAACATTCGGTACAATCGAGTGTTTGGTAATATTTTGTACAGTTATTTAGTTCCGGTTCAATTTCAGGATATTTGTTCATATTAAAAATATAGGCTGTTCAGAAACCGGTTTTATTTGGTCACCGTGAGCTTCTTTTTTTGTTCATAACATATACGATTTCCTCAGAAAGTGCAACGAAATAGATAAATTAATGTTTTATGAACATTATAATCGACTGTCGAACGCTAAACTCGCCGTCAGTTATCAATCGTCGTTGAGTTTTAATAACGTTTCTTAGTGTTTGTGCGTATTATCGTGTGAAATATTGAATAATAATAATATTAAAGTTAATCAATAAAATTATCAATCGTTTATAAATGGTATTGCGAACACGTTCGTTTTTTTTTGAAGTAATTATATTCATTTAAAATATCTTGTATTTTTAATAATTATTATATTATAATATATGTAATTACAAAAATCGTTATGAATCAATAAAAGCTTACGAGAAATATATTACAATATATACTAAAAGTATTCATATATCCAAGCATGCAGACATCATTACAAAAACATCTTTATTAGAATGATTTAAAATACAAAGGTCATTAAATATCTCTATTGATATAAGAAAAAGTTAAAGGTATTATATATTGGGAATAACTTTAAATTACTTAATCTAATGTAACAGTTTCACATTTCACTTTTATATAAATTATTCAATTTTATTATTTTTACATAAACCATTTACACAAACAACGAACAAGTATTTTATTTCTTTATAACTTTTTTTTTTTTAATTGAACTTAAATTTTTCCATTATACGATAAAAAAATTTTCTACATTCTTTATAAAAATTGTTGTTCAATTTTTTTTTAAAAAATTATTTTTATGTTTTATAGTAATGATCCAAATATCTGTAATTTATTATCTACTGTCGAAACAATTGGGTTAATTTTCAGTTCAATGAGCGTACATTTGTCCAGGATTTCGGATCTCACCTTAAACACAAGTAATAAGTAATATCTGTTTTCTATAGTAATTTATACCAGCTTTAATTTGATAACTGATTTATAATAAAACATACAATGTATGACTTGGAAATAAACAAAAAGTTCTGTTTGCATATCGATGATACGTAGAGGAAAAATGTGTTAAGTACAAATGGACGGTGCCAAAAAAAAAAAAAATCGGAAACAATTCTATTTTAATAATTTTTATTTTTTATTTCATATTCTTACAGGTTATTATAGTACACGTCAAATTTTAAATTAAAAAAAAAAAAACGAATTACGATTTATTTTTTTATAAAATCTATGAGAAAAAAGGGAATATAAACCATTGTGTAAATATAAATAACTCAACTTACAACTATTAAGATTTACTTAGAATTAAGAACACATTTACTCATCATTACTTATCACATAATATAATATTATAATAGTAAAATAATATTTTATTGAATAGAAGAGTGTAGGTCGAAAAAAAATTTCATAAAAAATTAACTTAAATTAGTTATTTGTAATATGAATCAAATAAAATAAAATATTACAAGTAATGATTTATGTTCAAAAATGAATAATTCCAAATAAATATAGCTCAAACCGAACAAGTCACTTATTGGACTTATTATAAGTAGTAAAATACACCAAGTTTCAAAAAAATCCTCGTTTTAAGAACTTATTGAAGAACATATATAAAAAATATTAATAAATTGTTTTAATTTTTGAATATTATCAACGATTTTTTTGAATTTATTTAAAATAGTATTGTATAATTATTCCTTTTTTCCGGAAAAAGGTTCGTTTAAGCCTTTTTCTTCAGATGGTTGATATTAACATTTTGAAAACTTAAGCTGATTCTAGGAAAAAATACTTTTATTAAGTTTCAACAGTTACAACTCGTTTTTTAATTGTAATTATATTTTATAATCATTTAGAACTAAAACAAAATAAAATGTTTAGTATCCCAAATGTTTAAATCTGAGAGTGCACTTAACAATATAACACAATAATACATTGAAAACCTTTACGGGTACAATATTATATTATTTACAATTGATTCTGTTGAAACGTAGTTGGTGCACCCTCAACAAATTACTATAAAAATCAATCAATTTCTCAGATTCGAAAAACGAATGTAGCTAGTAGTAACTACACTTAAAAAGATGCATTTATGTTTGTCAAAATATCTAGTTTTATTTATTTCTTTTTATTTCTAGTTGGTATAACTTTTTAGCGAATAAAATAGTGACTGTGATGTGACTATTTCACCAAATGCAAATTATATTATAAATAATTCTGTTATTTGTCAAATCATGCATTAAACTCATTTTCGTCGGAATTGTACGTAACACGTTTTTGCTTTAAGTCGTCGATACGGAGTCCCTGTCGTCACTGTAACCGACCTACATATGCCCTTATTCACAAGCAATTCTTCATGAATTCGAGACAATCGAAAACCGAAACCCCGTTCGGCACATTGTTGGACAGCCTAAACAGTTTCGGCGGTATTTGTATGTGCGACTCTATTACGTACCATGCATACACCATTGTCGGACTGTTTCGATCAGCTGTTGAGAATCAATTTCTAAAACGAGATATCCATCGCATATTTGCGTATTGTCAACACTCCAACACGGAGACGGTTGCGACCCGCGGGTGACTCGACACGTTTTTCTTTCGATTTTGGTATTTTCCCCTCCAGCTAATTCAAACAATGTCGAACAATCGGATAATGTGCGCGCAAACCGACGTTAAGCGTTTTCATACGAACACGACGAGCTTGGAGTGTTCATTGTTTTTTTCCATTTTCTGGACGATCACAAAAAGAAATAATAATACAGCACAGTCATTCGCCAATATGGACTTAATTACTTATTTCTTCAATGGCAGCGCGTCCTTGAATCTCATCGGTCGTATAGTGGTCTTCTTCGGTTCTATACGTATAGTATGTATTAATGCACGTATACACTTGTACGATGATATACAGAGCGCGCACAAATCTGTTTGGAAGACTTTCGATGACGGAATGTAACTGAAAGTCATCGTGCAAATGTAAGCGTTATTCACAAACCCGGTGTTCGAAACTCGATGGCACTAATATTTAAACGGACATTTGTATGATTAATAACGTCCAAACCGAGAAGTGGCTGCGATACGGTCATCGCGGTTGAGGAGATGACATCGTGAAAAAAAAATATAAAATATAATAAATTCATTTCCTCGGTCATTTCTATTGTCATACCGTTTTGTACTAATTTGTTATGCGATATTCGTGCGGTAACAAGTGTAATTACCGTTGTGCCAGGCTAATTTTGTGTAAAATATAAGACCCGGTCGCGCGTGTTGCACGAGCGCAGTGTCGCGCGGACGGATCGACGGAAATCACATTGATAGTAATACTGTTCTCGGCGTAAAATCCGCATTAGTAACGAACGACTACCGTCCGAATCAATTGTAAATCATTGTTGATCTCTACTGTTTAGGTTTGGCGACCGCACAAATGGTCAACTCGGAAAAATGTCTGCGAATCGTCGTCTCTCTGGCGATCACGTTTTGTGCCACGTGCGATCACGCTCGATGCTTGGAAGCCGTAAGTAAACCATCTGTATCGCATTCATTAGCGTAACGTTACATTTCAATGCATTATCGCGTACGGATAAACGTCTGTCGAAAACATTTTTTTTTTTTTTTAAATATAATCGTTCGTTTGTTGCGAAAATTATGCTTCTTCCGTTGTTGACGGTTTATTCTGTACAGTGTTGATTATTATCCGCACGGACATTGTAGATTTCCCGCACCGTGCAGTTTGTTGAAACCGTGGAACGAGCACCGGATATAAAAACAAGTATCACTCCGTTACAGGGAGTCGTATCTTGTAGAATAATTAACTTTAACTCTTGATTTCCGTAACGATAACGACGGAAAATCTCATAACATTACGGTTTAAAAAGACGACTCTTGGTGGTGGAACATATCGGTACGAGTTCGCAAGACACGATCAAACTACGAACCGTAAAAGACTCGAATTTATTGATAAGCGTTGGTCAACTATTTAGATTTTTCTAGTGACGCGTCACTCGGGTTCCCGAGTAATTTTAAAAACTTACGTTTTATTGTTTTTTTTTTTTTTTGTGATTTTGAGTGAAACAAAACATTTATTGAGTGTGCACGTACTTCATTTCTACTATTGAACTTTATAGCGAATGGTAGTAGTTGCAATAGGACTTCATCAAAAATTAGATGTTTACATCAAAATTTCGGATTAGAAATCAAATGCATTCGGCAATACAGGTGTTCCGAAAAATATTGTTTTCCGATTTTCGCAGTACTGTTTTTTTTGATACGAAAAAGAAATCAGAAATATTTATTAGCAGTTCAGTCTACGAATTTTGGAAAAATAAAAATTTCAATTTCATAGATTCATAGATTCATTCTAAACTAGTCCTAAACCATTTTATATTGATAAGAGTTCAGAAGATTTGCACTCTGTTACTGTTTGGAAAGAACGTCTTTCGCGAATGTGAACGGCGTCTATATTTTTAATAAATTTGAACGATTTTTGGGGCGTTAAATGTATTTACTATTTTAAAAATATTTGTGTAAATAATTATAAACATAAAGTGAAATATATCTAAAATATTTTGTAAATTTTTCATTATACAGAATGCATGTTGGTGATTCATAAACATAAAATAATAAAACTTAAAAGAATCGCTAAATAAACGCGTTCATTTTTTTATAAAACTTGAACGTTAACGTCTCCACTTAAAAAAATTGAATATGAATGAATTCCTTTTTTTACGCGCTGAACGTGAACGTAAACTAATTCAATTTTTAAGTGAACTTTCCGGGCACTGATTACACTTATCTTTGTCTAAAATTATTTATCGAACACGAAAACTTTTTCAGATTTTTGTAAAATATAAACGACTTACCGAACAATAAAAATTTGACAATCAGAACCAGTATTATATCTTTTTTTTATTATTTTATTCTGTACAAATATTCTTTAATTGTTATTAAATGTAATATGACTTGGTATATTTAACGATTTTATGGATAACTCGGATAATTTAGTTAAATATTTTTTATGAATACAAAATACTAAAAAATGGATCGCAATTATTGTTATTAAAATGAATTACATTTAATTGAAGATGGTCAAAGAAAAATTAAAACGAAATAAAAATACACATTATGTTTAATACAATTCTAAAAAAAAATAATAATACTTGTATATATAATAACGATTAATGATGCGGATTCTTGGAAGTTGCTTATTTTCGAGTATACAAGACCGTACTACTGCACAAAGTTGTATCTGAGGGTGGGAAGGGTCCACGGGGTCCAGGCCTGCCAATGTTTTTTCAATATTTTACAAATAATTTGTGCTTGGATCACAATATGCGTTTTTTCGGTTACCTGCAAGTAGTCCTACATAGTCCCGATCAACCGTAATCGGTAATTTAGAAAAAAAAATTAATAATCTTCTGATAATTTTTTTAAATTTATCAAACTCCTCAGACTCGGAAAAAAAAATCTATGTACGGCCTCGCGCTATTGCAGTACATCGTGACAACATCGCACGTTTTGTAATGCAAAATTAGCGTTGTAATGTAAAGTTAAACTCACTTTTGACGGCCGTATTATGTAGTATTATGTCTAAACAACTATTTTCATGTTAATATTTTCTGGTTTTGGCTCTCGATAACATTGTATTCATTCATGTAACTCACCAACACCTTCGTGGAGGCCACCCCTGTTATATAGATTCTTTTCTCTCTTTTTTTTCTAATTCTTGATAAGTTTACTGCATACAAATTGCAACCTCTTCGTCAGATGGCATTTTGGTACCTAGGTAGTCTGTTAGTCTAACTTAAGGTTTGTCTTCTTTTGCCTCGACTCGACTAACTGATACGCGCGTGTTTTTAGTTATCTAGACAAAAATTGACCAACGATGACTAACACAGTCTTGCTCTTTTGGTGTGTGATCAGCCTTACAGCTGTTCGGACAAATATGATCAGATGAACGAACGTGACCTGCGCTTTTCCTTGCACCGCGGTAGGAAACTCGCTGAACCCGTACCGGTATAACACTATGACCCGGTGTCAGAACGTGTTTTAAGTAATTTTCACTAGGTGGCACTTCGATAAAATCGTCTACCATCGTAGTGCATAGGCGTGGTGTTCTTCTGCAGAGGAACATACGGGGAAAATCGACTACTGTCATTACGGTCGTGGTGAGAACGTGTTGGCACGATCACCCACCACTGAGTAGCATTCAATTATCACTGGGGGGGGGGGGGGGGCACTAGCACAGTTGTACGTTAAAATATGTTCTGCCCGGTGCGCACACGGTATTGATCCGAACCGCGTTGTGTTGTTACAATTTATCGAGCCCAATGTTTACGACTATAGTCGATGTCGGAATGCTGTTATAATTATTGTTGACGTTATTTTGTTTTAAGATGGAACAAATCAAAGGGCTCGGGTATCCGCTGAAAACGTATCAAATATGGACCGTCGACAAGTATCGGCTGGGCCTGGAACGTATACCGTATGGCAAACACGGCTACGGCGTGATCGGCGCACCGGTACTGCTGTTGCACGGCCTGTACTTGTCATCGGCCATATTCGCCATCAACAATTCGTCACTGAGTAAGTAATACCGCACTTTCGACTTGATCACACTCGGACCGTCGATCGGGAACGATTTACATTCGACAACGATAATCGCCTCGGTGTGAACGAGACCTGGTTATTGTTACGGATACGTCCGCCAATGATTCTTATGTTTTCCAAATGTCTATCTGATTGCCTACACGAACGTTATGGATTACAATACACTTAACCTTCGTGCTCCGTCGTGTACATTAGGGCGCTACTTGTTTTACGTTAAAAACACGTTCTAATATCGATTGCGCCACCCCTCCGTTGGCTTCTAAATAAAAAAAATTAAATTATAAAAATGTTGACCCCAACGTGAATGATCTAACTCAATTCTGAACAATCGCTGTAACAAGGAGAAATTTTGTATTATTATAACGTAAATTAACTTTTAATTCAACTGAAAGAGAAAAGTTACTTAGAATGAATCATACGTATATATACTCAACACAAATTTTACAGTTAAAACCTGAAATTCGTCAAAACTAGTTTTGACTAGTTAAAACTAGAATTAACTAGAACTTTAATATTGATATAAATTTTAAAATACAATTTTATAACAACAGTCAATCAGAAATAAGTTTTTATTATTAGTTTTGACAAGGCAAACTATCGTGGCATAATTTATGAAAATAAATTAAAATAACTTCGACCAGCTGACGATCAAATATCCATTATCATACAATAGAACAGTTTATGTAACTCTAAATGCCACAATAGTTTGCATTGTCAAACAAATAATAAAAATTATACTTATTTCCGATTTACTTTTGTTATAAAATTGTATTTGAAAACTAGTAACGATATTGCAGTCCTGGTTAATTCTATAATTCAACTAGTTAAAACTAGTTTTGATGTATTTCGGTTTTTAACTGTGACACCAACATTGAAATCCTGGTTCATTAGTCAATATCAGTTTTGATGAAATTGATTTGTGAAAACTAGTATTGACTAGTTAAAACTAGTTTTGACGAATTTCGGGTTTTAACTGTAACAAATATTTATATATATATATATAGTATATATTTACTTCCCTTGAAAGTGTTATTATTCTCGATGAATTTTGCATAAGATACATTTTTTCGTCTGAAATTAGCTCTTCCGAATAAATATTTGCGTTACGATTTAAAAATCACATGTATTTTAAACGTAAAACTTTTCCTCGTTACAACCAATATGATGAGTTAGAAAGTTCACATTGGAGTTAATATTTATATATTTTTATTTAGTGACTATTAAAGGGGCGGCACGATTGATAATCGAACATCGGAAAAACAAGAAGTACCTAGTTGTATATATGGTAGTAAAATGGTGCAAATGGGCTGGAGGGTTTCGATTAATGTTTTCGAGACCACCCCAGTATTTTTCATTCAACGAATACACGATTACACGCTTCATTCATTACACTTGTTACACCGTCAGTTCGATACGAATTTTCTACTAAACCTATATGAAGGGTATCCCACGGAGACACACCGATCGAAGGTAAATGCCATTCGCAATGAGTACAGCTTCGTGCAACACCCTATGTATAGTCGCGGCGTTTAAGTACTTATTATTTTGTTATTTTATTTAAATACAAATTATAAAAGCTATATCATATTGAATTTATATTTCTAACCGTTTCGAAAGCAAAACGCTGCAATCTTGTGTATCTTATTATTTTCTGCGGAAGACATTGTAACAATAAACTGTTCTTGGATTTAGGTTTCGTTTTATCGGATGCCGGTTTTGACGTATGGCTCTTTAACGCCAGAGGTGCGGGTTTGTCTAGAAAACTCAGCATTTACAAAACACCAAGATCAAGGCCAAAAATGAATAGAATTTCATGGGATTTCAGGTATCGTCTGACGTTTTGCAAAATAAATATATATAAATAGACAAATAATTGGAATGCTAATAATTAGCATTCAACTATTAACTAAATAACTAGCATTATAATAATTATTATTATATTTAGATATTCAGTTATAAGTATTGAATACTGACCTACTAATACGATTTTATATTAGGTTTTTCCAAGGTCTTAAATTTACACTAGGAATAACCAGATTACATCTACACGTCGTAAATTAGTATGCAATTAAAAATTATGAATACTTTACTAGAGGCAAGCGGACATTGATCTATTGCCAACAAATGATTTGCAATTTTTTAACATTAAAGTGCCTTTATTTAAAAAAAAAACATTATTGCCCGACTAAATATTATTAGGTGTTTGGGTAAACAGATAATTAGGGAGGGAGGGGGTTTACAAATTATCGTGTGTATTAGGTTTTAGGTTTGCACCGATAAAATCTTCTACTTTGAAATGAATACTGTAGAAATTACCTAAAATACAATCAAATTTAGATGATCCTAATACGATAATAAATCCAATAAATATTATTTTTAATTAAAAAAAATTTAATGAATATGACGTCTAACAAATAACGGTACAATATTGATGTAGTTTTTAAAATGTTTATAATGTGATGTGTTATAGTTCATTAATTTATCGAAGATATGGATATTTTTTTTTTTAGTTTTCATGAAATGGGCGTGTACGATATGACTGCTGCTGTAGATTTTATCCTAAAAACGACGGGATACTCAAAACTGGACGTTGTGGGCTATTCCTTAGGAACAACCATAGCCCTAGCATGCCTGACTGATAAACCAGAATATAATTCTAAGATCAACAAGCTTGTTCTCATGGCTCCGACGTCGAGACTGAAATCAGCCGGACCGCCAATCAATATTTTCAAACAGTTTTCAAAAATAGTGACTGTAATAACTGTATTTCTCTAAATATTTATCTTACTCGTGGTGGTGGCATCGGTGGTGGTTATCTTATCCTACCATATTCACGCATTTTAATCTTGAGTAACGATTTTAAATTTCATAAAAATATGAACAATAATTTAGTTTATTCATTTTAGGTTTTACTAGGTGGATTTGATTTTTTTCCGTACACGGAGGACCCAGACACTACGTATCGATTGATCAGACGATTGTGTTCAAACAAAAGCGTATTTAGATATTGTAAAACATTCATTGATTTGGCACATGGGATCGATTTACCGATTACCAAAGTATGCAACATAATAACAAAACAGTAATAAAGCATAAAAAATTTCAATATGTTTACTTCATTTCAATAAAAATTCAATTTTAATTTTCTTTAACAATAGTTTACGTAATCAAAACGAATATGCAATGTTAATTCATAATATTTAAGGACATATTATACTAAAAATATTATATTTTCAAGATAAAATCTTAAGTTATTACAAATTTCTCATCTTATAATTAGAAATTAATTATTAATTATTATTTATTTTTTTATTAACTAATGAAGTGACATCAAAAAATGTACTAGTAGACTATTGGGTAAAATAAATTAAACTTAAGTCCATGATAGTAAATATTTTTAAATTATTGCTTTTTAAGACATTAAAATTCGTAAACTTTACGTATAGTTTACTTTATAATTTTTAGCAGATATAAATTCGATGCTTTTAATTTATAAAACATTATTATTTTTCAGTTTTGTATTTTAATATATGAACTGTAGAAACTATTTGGTTGTTTTAGGACACAGTTTTAGAAATAGCTTCTGAATTTCCTCAACCTATGTCTTCTAAGTTATTGAAGCATATGCTGCAATTGTTAACATCTGGTAAGTAAAATTAATAGCAATAAGAATAGTTCTAAAATAATTCATAACTTATATTATGTTTTAGAACATTCATAATGTGATAAAAAATAGTAAAATTATTTATCATAGTTTGTTGATATTCGGAATATTATAAATATGTAAGAAGATAATAATCAATGATCAAAAGTGAAATAAAAATAAATTATCTATAATAGTAAATTTAATAAAAAATATTGTACGAAAAAAGTATTATTTGTACGTCTTGTATTGACTCCGGTTCCGATTGCATTGCAAAAATCAGAAAATGTAATTCGAGTTTAGACGTTTGTTTTGCATAGTAGTGCACTAATATTTAATTTCACGTACGTCTTTAAACACATATTGTCGTTGAATTCTACTTTTATACACCATAGACGTAAACATAAACGATAAATAAATAATTGAAAATAATTAACGGCCGTTTTACAAATAGAAATGTTCAGAAACAAAACAAAAAACCAAAATATTTAAACGAAAATTAGAACATCAAATGTAATGTTTAACGACAAAACAATCGCTCCGTATTCTAATTATACACATTCGTAATTAATAAATTGCGCCCGGCACATTCCGGTCGCGTTGCGCACTACGAGATTTACGACGGATATATAAAAGACCGATATTTGGTAAACACGCACGTGTTTGCACTCCGTCCCGGTGTGATTCAACAGCGATGTTTTCTCGCGACCTTGTAAACTAGACATGTCTGTCTTCGGCTGTACGAACGGTTTTACGGAAAAGTAACCGCAATGTTACCTTCTTGTCACCGGACGGAAAACTTTTACAAAAGACAAGTTTAGAAAAAATAAATAAAAAACACTTTATTCAGTCGAACATCGATCACCGTCCCGCGATACACGATCGAATACGCGATCGTACTCGAAACGAACACATGTTTCGGGTGTCAGATCTTTGCAGATCACTTGCGGTTTAAACCAAAAGATTCCAAGTGTCCGACATTAAATTATTATTGTTTATCGTTCATGAGTGTTCACCGTTTTTATTAATTTTCGTTTTATTCCTAATATGGAAATACAATGTCCATCGTCTCGTATACGCATATTCTTGTCACGACTGCGATCACATCGTTCCGACCTACAAGAAAAACGTATCGTCTAAAGTTTAGACTCTAAAGCAGGGGTTGTCCACTGGCGGATGACAATACTCTGGACCCAGTAAACTTTTATTTTCATACTCCTAATATTGTAATTTTTATTATAAATTAATTGTAATAACCAAATAATTATTTTTATTTTTAAACTGCTATTTTTAAAATATAAAGATTTGAAAAAGATTTTTTTCACTGGAGCTCATTGATTTATTAATTAAATCTTTCGAATTCCGATGTAAATTACTTGCCGACCCATGCTCTAAAGGGTGTTTCGTCGACGGTGGCGTCTAATCGCGAATCGAAGACGTAAAAAACAGTATAATAGTTTATCTTTTACACCTGCTCATCGTTAAACAACGACGACCGTGCAGATTTGCTGCCGTTCAAGTAGAAATAACAAATTTCTATTGAATGTATTTTTTTTTTACTTTTTTAATGTTTAAATTGATACATGTATAATTATGTATATATTTTTTTAATATACCGACAATTTGCACAGTAATTTATGATTTTAATTCGATCGTTTATTTTCCTTGTTGCAGGAAGATTTTGTCATTACGACTACGGGCCTTCTGGAAATTTAAAACGTTACCATACGATAACGACACCCGATTACGATCTATCCAAGGTCACGGCGCCTACGTACATTGTACACTCCAAGAACGATACTCTAGTTTCTCCTAAGGTACGTATTTGTAATTATATTTTCCAATCCATCGCGTTATACTACTGTATTGTTATATATTAAATTTCGATAAATCTAACGGTGTTTGAATAAAATAATTGTTTGTGAAAAAAATTAACTTGATCGAACAACCACCACCACTACAGCGATTATTCCCCGTCGTTCAGAAGTAAAAAAGTACCATTGGTTTTTGATGTTTAGAATTTATGGAAAATATTCTCTTCGATTACCAAGCCAACATACCAAACCTACTTGGTAGTTTTGAAAATATATTCAAATCATTGTTGTGAGGTCCATTTTTATTTATAAATTAATTTCCTCTCTTTGTTAAAAATGTGAGTGTACATTTTCTCTTTTTTTTTTCGTATGTCTTGTATATTTATTAATTTTCTACGGAACAGAAATCTCAAAGTCTTACATTCATAAGTAAATTTTGTGCTACATGAAAATTCACTAATATGTCACTAATTACAATAGTTTTTACTGGTATTATGTTATCCGTGAACTCGAACCACTCACGGTCAATTAGTATTAATATTCAAGGTGACCATAAACAATACAGACCTGTTTGAATACAGCTGTATTATAAAATCTATATCAAACGTACTCTTCCCCCGTCATATTAATTACGACCAATCAGTTGATGATTCTCCTAATCTCCCGTAAACACCTCCACTCATCGAGACGTACAAACACAAATCTAATCACACACGCGAACCGGGTAACCATAATAAATATTAATTCGTTATCCTATTTATAAGGATATCTTCTTCCGGGTTACGATTCGTCATTCGCACATGTTAAATGTTGGTTTTATTAAAAAAAAAAAAATCATTCTTCAAATAATTAACTGCTATTTCAGAAAATAATCATATTAACATGAAACGTACGTGCATTTTAATCGTGTGAATTTTTATGATAAACTATGTCCAGCTTGTTAAATTAACGAACAATAAAATAGTCCGCAGTCATCTGTTATCATGCTGGAGCGATTGTTTAATGTCTCGTATAATGCACTTAAAGTGTCTACGGTTTATGTTCTAGGACGTTAAATGGCTCATTACTCAGTTACCAAATGTAAAGGATGTGAACTACATTGATAAAATACCGTTTGGCCACCTCAGCTTTTCTTTGGGCACGAACATGAAGGAAGTTGTGAACTCGTACATAGCAAACAAATTGTTAGATAACGATTTATAGATTGTAATACTATTTTATAATCAAATGTGAATAAAGCGAAGTATTGATATTCTCGACTAATTTCAAATCCCCGTGTTATATGTATTATAATTTTTGTATTTATTAAAATAGAAAATGTGCAATCTGCTACATCTGTACTACAAGCAAATAGTAGAGAATATTTACATAATAATCCGTATGAGGAGGAAGGCTGTCTACTGACAGAAACCTCATGGGGTTATAAGTAACATTAGCGATTTAATAAATCTCTGCACCAGCATTTTTTTAACCGACGGGAGGGACTTTCTGTCAAGTTCGCTCCGCCTAAAATGGCTGTAAGAGGGTTTGTATGAGCGGTTAGTTTGGTGTAAAATTTTCTCAAATGGTTGGATTGTAACGTTGTTAATGGTTTCTATGTTCAGATAATTGTGGAGCAAGTTGTTGGAAACATACCAAGGTGCAGGAGTTAGAAAACAGATAATGAAAGATTGTTAACGCTTGAATTGTTTTTATTTGGAATGCTTTGGCGCAGCACCATATCTGTAATCCATAAGCCCAAACGGGCACTAACAATGATTTATAAATAATTCGTTCTATTGCTGAAGGAAAGATTCGATTTAAGAATAAGACACGGAAGAGGTGTAGTGTTGTTATTGAGTTTTCTCCTTGTTGGTCCCAAATGTGGGTCCCAGATGAGACATTTATCTAAAACATGGCCCTAATAATTAATTTAAGTTTTTATTGAAATTTTCACGCCCTCAAAATGAAGAATAGGTGAGGTTTATCTTCTATAAGGCGAGAGGAACATGGAAGGATTTTTCGACCTTCATTTTGATTTTCCAATTGGATCTTTCTACTTTTATAGAATACGATTGAAGATTGCATTTAAAGTTGGAAAAAAATGTATTACCTCATCCCACAACAAATGTGTGATTTGATAGCCAACTAGTAAATGTCGGATTTTATAGTATGTATTAGAGAAGTGTAGTTAAAACGCAACAGTGTTTTTTTCGGCGCGCTTAGGAAAATGCATATTTTCATCGTGACAGACCATAACTCAACGTCATCGAAATGAATCAAATAAACGACGTTATATTTCCGACACGGTAGTTATCGCGTAACGATGGATTCCAGTAGATTACTCCAGTTGGATTATCTGGTAAAATAAATCGGACGGGAGAGCCGCTCTTAAATCTTCGGTCCGTCGACGATTACGGATTTAGCACGACGAACAACAACAGGAATAGCACGCAATAATGGAGGTTGAAGGATATTCAGTAAACCGATAAACTCGACGCGTATAAATATTATTGTGTCGTATTGTTGTCAGTGGCGATGATACTTATGCGACAAAGAAACATTGCCTACCCAGTTTTTGTTTGCGTGCGGTGTAGTAAGCGCTCTGGCATTTTACGTTTAAATATTCATTATCCTATAATTAATGACACTATTGATCATAGAAGTATATGTGTATGTACAGAATATATGAAATTGACATTTAAAATATTTCACATACTCTGTGATAAATGTGCACAATAAGCCGTACGCAGGAGTTTGTGTTTCAATCACGGTGCACCATGAACCACTGAACAAGTATGATAAGTCCGTTGAGACGCGTAGGTAGTACGTCTCACACAGTGACGCAACCAGATTTGGTTTTCGGGGGGGAGGGGGGGGGTGTGAATTTGAAAAAAATAAGCATTTTCTATAGATGTTTAGTGGGGACAAGGAAGTCAGATAAAGTTAGGTTTATGAGTAAAACATTCAAATTACAAAGTAAACTGTTTAAATTCTATTTCACATTGTGATACCACAAAAAAAATTGTATCATATAATCGACTATCGAGAAATCGTAGTAGCAAGGTTATTGATGTATTAAAATTGAACGGAACGTTACAAGACGTTTCATATTGTCATCAATTATAATACGAATAATGTATGTATTTAATGTCAATCAGCCGTTTCGCGTCTTCAAGATAAACTATTTTTATTCCTACGTAGAATTTGTAAAAACCTCAAAAACATTTCGGGAGGGAAGGGTTACAAACTCCAAACCTCACCAATAGTTGCTCCACTGGTCACATATACGTACGCACACGTGCGGTGTGATGGGTTACGAAAGGAGAGGTTCCGCCGCGCGCAAGCAACTAAAGAGCCATGGTCTCACGAACGAGAATGATATACCAGTAGATCGGTGATCGCCGTGATCGATATTTTCCCATAAGCCCGGGATTTCTTTATCACGTTGTCTATGACGATTGTACCTAGGTACTCAGTAGTGAAAGTGCATTTGTACTTCAGTGTGTTACCATAGATCGTATTGAATAAATATTAGCGTGATTACGCGATGACGGAAAGACGAGTATTAAAAGAGCCGGTGTAGATCCGGCATTTATCGACGAAGTTATCAAACTTTTCTCAAACAATTAGAAAAATAGATTTAACCTACAAAGCGATATGAGTATTAAAAGGGTTTGCAAAAAGCAGTGTTTATTTATACCTGACTGTTATACATTACCGTTGAATTCACATTTGTTTTAAATGTTGTTCCCCTTTAATACGAAACCCAGTTTCGCCGTCGATTGCTGTTGCACGTACAATTGTGTAGTAGGTCCCCTGCCCAAAGCAACCTTCGGCTAACCGTATATGCTTATAAAATGTCTCTGGGATTAATGGTTCATCCTGTAGGTACGATCGCGACCTGACGGTTTTTTACCGATACGCTTGTGCGATTACGATGAAGTTATTGCCAGCCCCGAGTCAAGGGGCCCACGCAAAACGGGATATATCTTACGACCGTTAACGATTGCTGTTCGAAAATAATTTTATCTTTCACGTCACCACGTACCCGGTCGTTGGCCGATTCCGTATGTCGATGCACGTGTTGAACGGTAAGCGAAGTTTGACCGAGCGAGCGGCATTGAAGTGTCGCGCGAATACGGTGAAATGATTAGCGTGATGAAAGAAAAAAACCTCCGTCGGGCTTTACGACGCGATTGCACAATTTTAATTGGAAATAATTGTAAATAATTGAAATTTAAAATGGCACGGGCGCAGCATCATAATCGCCTAGGACGGTTAAGATGACAGCGTGCCGAAACGAACCGTTCAATCGTGACGCGAGAGATGTAATCGTTCAATTTTCGCACGTCCAAAGCTATGTCGGTTTCGCACGCGTTCGATCGCGTAGCAGTGAATAGTTGACGAGTTTCGTCTCCGCAACTTCACAAGCAGTGCACGCGGTCAGGTCCTCCATGATCCCGTACGGTCTCCAGTTCGAAAATTTCTATCGATCGTAGTGAGTCGTTTATTTACACGTTCGAAATCGTTTGTCGAAACCAAACCGAACGCTATACAGTTTCCGTACATTGCACATTAACAATGGGCGTGCGTTCGATAACTTGTGCGATTGCTTTCACGGTGATCTTCGTCGGTACCGGAAAACATTCCGTTTTCGCTTTTTCGGCCGTAAGTATATCGCGTTTCGATACAGAATATATCTGGTACTAACCGTACCGGTATACGGTTTTCGAAAAAAATTACTGGAAAAATAATAATTGTACGAGTTACACTTAACTATGTGTGTATCGTAATTGAGTAATATTTTTTTTCGGAATACTTTTACATCGAATTATTTCTTTATAAGTACCGCTGTAAGGACGAAATAAAGACCGAAAATGTGTTTTTGCTAAATCATTTCTATAAAACATCGCGTGCACGATCGCTATCAGAAATTTAAGCAGAATTAATCACAATACCTGTTTTCGTGTTTTGTTACAGAGCACACATATGTTTATGTTTACCTAATATAATAATTGCTATATGTATACGACTATTAGGATGATTATTATAATGTCCAGTTGTCTCCTACAGTACAACGACGGTGTTGTATTCCGACGTTTCGCATGAATAATATATCATATATTTTACGTTAACTGAAAAAATATGTAGATTTTAAAAACGTCACTAGAAAATAAATAATAAAAACTAGTTAATACAATATTAATTGTAGTTGTTAACTTTCCATCCGATACCAATAGGTTCAACTTGATACTTTGTTGTATTAAAAGTTAAGATTTTATGTTGGTCGTTTAAACGGCCGAATGCTGTAAGTCTGGTTGGGTAGTTCTCACCACCGTCGTGTCGTGATTTATTAATCACCGGTCGACAGAATAGCACGTTATCTCAGTTTGATACATACTATTATACTAACACGATATTTTAGATGATGACTATGATTATGAATTCTTGAAAAACTGAAAAATCTTTTTTTTTACATTTATGATCATTATCATTTTGGTATAATTTGGTCTAATAAATATAAATAAAAAAACTTAAATTGGAAGTAAATCATGACATTTAGTTGGTAGATTACAATGACTGTATATTGACGAGTTTTTAATTCTAATCAAAGCCAATGTTTAAACATTTTAATAGGTTATTGTATGTTATATAAACAAAAAAATTTAATTTCAAAATTAAATTCAACAAGGCTTTTTTTTATTGGTAAACATATTATATTTTTCCATGAATAAAGATTTTTTTGTAAAACATAAAAATTAAACTAGTAACCGAAAAAATTTTAACCATTCTTCCGACCATCTTTCCAAGTATAATTAAAATAAACTATTCAAATGTAGATAATACAAGATAAAAGTCAAACCAAATTATGAGTATTCATATAAAATGTTTAATAGATATATATGAATAAGTTATATTTAACATAATAAGTAATAAGAGCTTTATAAAAAAAAAAAAAAAAAATTAGTTCATCATTTTCATCACATTTATAACATATAAAGTAATAATTTCAATTTTTAACAATACAAATATTTTAAAAAAAAATCATTGAAAAATATATACTTGCATGTGCTAAATGTATACAAACAAACAAACAGAATATCAATAATTTAAATATATATAAAAAAAATTAATTAAAAAACAGTAAAAAAAAAAAAAAACAAAAATTATAACAATGATTAATTTTGTTGCAAATATGAGGAAACAGTTTTTTTCACTTCGTTGATAATAAATAAACAATTTACAACAACAATGTCTTTATAAATAGATTCATCTGAAACATACATT